TCTTTCCCCAAGGTTTGGCTGTGGTTGTTTTTTGAAACAACATTTTGATGGTCTAAGAACTCCCAATGAGGTCAGCTTAGGGAAGAAAACAAAAGAGGAAAAAAAATAGAGATGACCTCTTACTGCACACTGGCTATTTCATAGATTTCATATGTGTGTCCATAGGAACATTGCAGATTCATTTATTTGTTCTGAATTTTCAGTGATTAGTCAGACAGAGCAAAATTCCATTTAAAGTAATAAATTACATTAAGATCTAGGGAAGCCTAATTTTCTGATATTTAGCAGACCTTATCATTTTGAATTGTGGAATTAAACAAGAGTATTGCGGGGTTTTTTCTGACATAAAAAACTTTTTTTCTTAAGCTGGGCTACAGTAAAAACTAAAATTTGTAAAATCATACACAGGGCCTGCTAACATCTTTATAAACAATATCCTCAAATCTATTACCCATTTCTACTCTTATTACTACTTCTAGTCAAATATTTATAATATAAGATTTCTAAAATAATTCAATTCGGGTATTCTTAAATGCTGTCACTCTGAAAGATTATTGATTTTTCCAGCTATGTTTTCCTTTGACTTTCGATTATTTAAATTGTCAAATTTTATTCATTTTCATGTTAGCTTGCCGTGTGTCCTTAGACGTTCTATCATATCACTATAAGTTGAAACAAGAAGGATATGCATAAAACAACTCACCAAAGTGAACCTAATTGAGAAACCAGGCACTGCCTTGTTTTTTCCCCCCAGTTTAGCAGGGGAGTTTGGGTTGACTGTTTTTGTCATTTGAAATAATGTGAATAAGGCTGTTTTCCTCAGAAAAAAATAAAATGTCATTCAACATTTGTGCAATTATGCAAGCCGAGTGACTGATATTCTAGTTATAACTTCAAAGAAGAGTTTAGTCACTACAAGGGATTAGATTTCATTTATTTATTGATAAGGAGGCCAACAGTTCAAGTTAAGAAGGTGCTAGAACTGCTGTGAGGCTAATGAAATTTTGATGGCCTGAGCATCCCATGAGAGTAAAGGAACATTCGGACCATGTCACACGTCTCCGTGTTAGCAGAGACTCTAAACCAGGGATAAAATATATTCTTTTGCAAAACTAACGCTTCACCAACCATGGGGAGTTGATGTTAAGCAGCAATTTGAGGGAAAAAAATGTATTACAGTATATTGAGCTTCATATCAAATTTCAAATGTTAATCTTGTTCCGAATTAGGGATGGGGGAGAAGGGCCTCTCTTGACAGGTACTGACAACTTTCTAAGTCAACGGCCGTGCTCCGGGGCAAATACTGGAGGGTCAGTGGTTTGTGACCACCTATTAGCAGCGGTCCTAGTAAGCTGGTAAGAGACTACAAAATAAATGTGATGGGATGCCATAATCAAAGGGAAAGTTACCAGTATGCTCTGGCTCGTTTGAGGCATCTTTCCCGTCTCTGATGGATTGTTAAAAGACCCTGACTGAACAGCCACTCTCCAGCTTTGCAAGTCATCTGATCTGAATTCCAAATATCTATGTAAATGTCAGGAACAAAGAACTTTTTTTTTTTTTCAAAACATCAAGGTTAAGCTTTAAAAAATGTTTATTTGTGCATCTTTTCCGAGAAGCAGCCTAGCGTGTATTATTATTCTTTGTCAGCCAGCAGTGTGGTATCATGAGAAGTGCCTGGATTCAGAAACACAGCGCTCAGGGTGTAAACGCTTTCATTCGACCCCTAAGACCGTTTGCTCCTGAGTCACCCAGAGCTCAAGGTCCCAACTTTCCCACCTCTGCCTGGCTACTCGGCCAGTTGTACCGCTGGCCCCAGAGACGTGGAGGTCTTCGTCTTGCTTCATCTGCCTGTCTCCACGCCCTCTTCTGCCCCTTGGGAACCGATGACCTTTGACACTAGACAGACCAAGAGGAGTTGGCTCTCCTCTTCCACCTCGTCGTAACTGGGGACCTCGAGAGCCTCCTCTGAGGGCAACAGTTGAGAACGTGTTGATGGGGGCAGACCACCTGGGATTGTACTGGCTCCACCAGCTCCCAGCTGTGTGGCCTTGGGCAAGTGACTTAACCTTCCTGTGCTGCCGTTTCCATGAGGGTAAAATGCAGAAGACCACAAATGACGTGCAGTCCTTATAGGGTCGTCGTGAGGATTAAATGAGCTCGGATATATGATATGCTTAGAACAACGGTGCCTGGCGTCTAGTGAGTTCCAAACAAGGGTGTCCTCTTATTGTTATTTGTAAATGGTGGAAAATTACATGTGCTTCTTAAGTGTTTGTGAAGATTAAGTGAGGTGCACGATATCAAGTACCTACACAGTCTTGGCCCACAGCGTGTCCCCTGCCCCGCTTCCATTTTCCCCCTCTGTCTGCATTAGTCAAGTATTTGTACATTTGGCGAATGAGGGAGAGCGAGTGGCCTCCTCCAGGAGACCCACTGCTAATTTGCATAGCCTGGAACTTCTGTCACCATTTGTTGGCTCTTTTACTTTTCTCTAAAACCCCACATACTTTTTAATTCACTGTAATTAAATGAACGTACACTGAGTGGTGCTGATAATTAGTCTGATGGCTGTAGACTTCAAAGAGTTAAACGTGCTCCTTCCCTTCCTGGCCAAAGGAAATTTCAAAAGTGGTGCTTCCCTCAAAGGCATGTTACTTAGACAGCCAGTCAATTAAAAGGCAATTTAACGGATGTTCGTGAGTTCACCCAATAAAATAAATCACTCCTGGAAGACTTTATTTCTCACCTGGGGTCTTAGCAATATACCTGTGGTAGGACCTCACTAATGCCACACTAACTGTGCAGATACTAGAGTATTCCAGGGCTAATTTGGCTAACAAGAAGCATAGAGCATTAATGTGCAGTATTTTTAAGTGTAATAGATACTTGCTTTGCCAGACTAAAACACGTCAAAAAACCAATTTACTTGTCCTTTGAAATAGTAGTTTTAAAGTCTACTTTCTGTATGGATAGATAAAATCTAAAAGTTGAGCTACTATACTTAAAAAAAAGATACACCCCGGGCTTCCCTGGTGGCGCAGTGGTTGAGAGTCCGCCTGCCGATGCGGGGGACGCGGGTTCGTGCCCCGGTCCGGGAAGATCCCACGTGCCGCGGAGCGGCTGGGCCCGTGAGCCATGGCCGCTGAGCCTGCGCGTCCGGAGCCTGTGCTCCGCGACGGGAGGGGCCACGGCAGTGGGAGGCCCGCGAAGACATACCCCTTAAACCAATTTGATAAACTGTTGTAGTGATGTTTACATCACTGTCACAGTAGAGAACTTTATTTTGCCATCCAAATTACCACATTGGGCAAAATATGTTCTCTGAAAAAGTGGGCAGGGCAATTTTTTCTCTTTCTGAGCACCTGCATATAGGTGAGAGAGAAGAAATGGGAGGATTTGTACCTATGCCGTCACCAATTAAGTTCTAGAACAGTGTGGGAGAAACTGCCGGTGGTGGTGGAGTGCCTGTTATGTCCCGTACTTGTGATGGTTCTATAGCCATGACGCAGACGTCATTCCTCTCCTGGCTCTTTTTCTACACGAGGCTAATCGTTGAGGTTTCCACAGGTCATTGGAAGCGGTGGATTTTTGCCTGTAGCCTGGCTCCGTTGCTCCAGCTTGATCTTTCTCAGCTTTCAGCCTACTTTGGAAATTGATTGTGAGAATTAAGGAGGAATTCCGTTGCTGCAAGAAGTAAATGGTATTTCAGTGTTATTCGAATTTGATGAGATTTTACTACACATGCTAAACCGTAACTTGAATATAAATTCCATTATGGGCTCTCTTCTCGCATGTGATGGTCAATTCCGGCATGTCCTACTGTTGGAAATTATATTTTATGTTTTAGGTGCTCTGGGATGTCAAAATAGCAAAAGTAATATGTTGCATGCTTCCTAAATCAAGGTCAGAATTAAAGTGCTGCTTTGCAAAATACAGTCAAATAGCTTCCAATATATAAAAATAATTACATCACCTTGACGGGTGTGTGTTTATGGTTTAAACAGCAGCTTGTCATTCTTTAAGCAAAAGCTTCCATACTTCATTTTGGATCAAATACATTCACGTCACGGATATGTTACAAGTCACTTGAGCACAAGTAAGTGATGATTTAAATAAAACTTTTTAAAAATTTAGTATTATGAAAGTAGAATTAAGAGTGCCATGAAGTCCGCCACCATGGTTGTTATCACTTAAGTATTTATATACATTTATATTTTCCATTCTAAGAGGATTTTTGGCACTGCTTGACAGTTTGCTACTTGTCACACGGATATTGCCATTTCTACAAAACAACTTGTATTCTAAGTAGTTTTGTTCCAAGTATATAGACTATATGCAGCATCTGTTTAAAATCCAGATGTTCTTTTAATTGTGGAGTTGAAATCAAAGTAAAGCGTACTGACGCAAATCAAAACTGATGATGCATGCTATTTTGATTTTTGAATGTGGTTTGATATCCTTGAAAAATCACAGTAGTAGCAGTAAAATTGTTTTAATTAATGAATTGAACAGCAGCGAATGCC